AAAAAAAAAAAAAAAAAAAAAAAAAAAAAAAAAAAAAATCTAGCCACATATATTTAAATTGTCAACTGCTATGTTTAAAACTGTGCTCACATTTAGCACATATATAAAAGGTCTACATGTGCACAATACTTACATAATATGGATCTTCAATTATAAGCTGTTTCTGTGGATCATAGCTTCCAAGTAATTCAATTTTAGCTTTACAGTTTTTAACTTGATTGCTTTTTCTTTTCAAATCTCTGTAAATAGAAATTTAAAACACTTTTACCTACAAATGATGACTTTTGCTCCATTTGACATCAGCTTAATTAGTTCAAGTACGTATTAGAAAGTTTACCAGATGAATGAAAAAGGAAAAGCGCAGGAAAAAATGCCAATGTACTTTAAAACACTGCTGTTAGCGCACCATGTTGTTTCTTATATTAAGTGTTAAGGACATTACACACACAATGAGTCTAAATGAAAATGAAAATCATGCAACCAGGTGTTTGACTGAGTGTTAGTGACTAACAAGACTTTTAAATCTTTCATCATGAGTAACTCCACATTTTCAGTGTCTACTTATAGCTTTTATTATACAAAAAAAAAATCTCTTGAACATGGTGAACAGCTGAAAGCAGCTTACTTGTACCTAACAAATGCAAGACAACATGTTGCTTCAATGCGGGTTCTCTTAGGCTTTAATTCAGGACTGTCCAACTGGTGGCCCATGGGGTCCTACTCTGCCAAGATTCCTCCTATTGCTTTGGCTGTAACACAAGAGCTTAAGTTTTCAGACTTCCCACCCCACTCCTCCAGCTTCTGTGTCTACCTCAGAGAACTGTGTGGCACAGCATGGGCCGCTTTGGGTAAGACCATACATGTGTGGCATTTGGTGCTGTGGTGGGGGGAATGGGGGAAAACGCATGAAGCAGTAAGTTGCAGGCACATGGTGTAACAGGGTGGGGCCCATGTAGTCTGCAGACTATGACCCCCCACTGGTGTGGCTCATGGGGTCCCCAGTAGTACAGCCTGTGGGGCATGCAGACTGTAGCCACTTAGAAGTTGAAGCTGGACAGCCCTGCTTTAATTTATTCAAAAAAGTTCTCCTGTTGAGTTTAAGTTACACCAATTGCCAAACGCTAAACAATTTTGGTGCCTGCAGTTTGACACATACTTTTAACAACTACTGAACATCAAAAAAAGTTGTCAAAAAAAACCCAACTCGCTCAGATTATTTGTGATAACAACTTTTCAGAGGTATGCAGACCCCATAATTATCCATGGTCCATATTCCATTAGCCCACAAATTAAACTTCAGTTTCCTAGCACCTCTAAAGAGAGACAGCTGAAATCTGTGTCTTTCACTAGGTGAATTTACTTCAATGCAATATAAATCTTAGTTCTAAATCTAAAGTCTTCTCAACATTTCCCAGTTTAAGATTACATAACTTTCTGACTAATCAGTAACACGTGATTTCTTTGAGACTAAGTTTTCAAATACTTACTAGTCACATTCTGCACTGATAGCTTCAAGTTAACCTTGATTCTAGTGGATAGAGCAATAAACTGGCACTCAGGAGAGCTTTGGCAAGTTACCTAATTTCCCTGTGCCTTATTTTTCAGGCCCCTCACTACCCCAGCATCTATAAAATAGTGGTAATAATGTGCTCCGCTTTGAGACCTACAGTTTAACAATTGAAGAGTTTGTAAAAGTCTTATATGGTGGTTTTCAAACTGCTCTGTGGAAGCCTGGGCTGGGAGGCCATGTGCCACCATTATTGGGCTGGGTCACCTGGTGCTACCTTGGCTTACAGGATAGAGGTAGGGAATCTGTGGCAGAAGTCATCCCATGGAAGACTTCTATGACTTCAGGAAATTTGAAAAACACCGGTGTAATACAAGTGCAGAGAAGGACAACCAAAATGATCAGGGTCCTGAAGAAATTTGCTGTACAAGGAGAGAATAAAAAGGCTAGGACTCCTTAGTTTGGAAAGAAGAAGGCTGAGGAGGTATACAACAGAGGTCTATTAAATCATTAAAAGCGTGGGACCAAGTGAACAGGGAACTGTTGTTCACCAAGTCCCAGAATACTAGAACTAGAGGGCACCCACTAGTAGGTGAGTTTTAAAACTAATAAGAGAAAGTACTTTTTTAAAAAACACTTTGTTAATTTAGGGAATTTACTTGTACAGGTGATAGAAGCAGACTGCAAACCAAGTTAAAAATTCATGGATAAATCATGGATGACAGATCTATAAAAGAACAGTTGGAGAGGCTTCCTCTGGCACCCCTAAACTAATAAGTGGTGGATGCCAGGGAGAGTATTGAATAGGGGAGAGATCACTCTAGAGATATCTGGTCGCTGGCCTCCCTGTATAGTATCCACTTTTGCCACTGTCAGAGACAGGATACTGAGCTAGATGAACCACTGGTTTGACCACTATAGCACTTCTTATGTTCTTAAGAAGAAATCAGAGGAAGTCACTGTTTTGCCTCAAATGGGTTGTAATCTTCATGCAAGTGTCATCTGAAGTATGGGGACTTTGTTCCAACTTTTTTTTAATAAGTTACCCTTAATTAAGTTCTTTATTCCTCCATTAATTTTAATTATACATATATAAGAACAGAGGCTATATTTTAAGCAACCAGAATAACTACATATTTTTCTATCAATTACTGTTCAAAAGGACTAAGAAACAATTTTTGCTTAAAGATTAAAGTATTCTTCATGCCACAGGGCAACCAATCATCTTACATAAAACCCCACCACATTAGTTTTGCCTCAGTTGCCTCCTACATCAACACCTCCCAGCAAGCTTCAGAGTTCCCAAGGAAAGCTCAGAAATGTAGGATACACCTCCCTACCACTACTGGCAGCGTGCCAACAACTAGACTGAATTTGCTCCTCCCAGGCATTCTGATTCAACACCACAGAGCACCACAGGGATGCTGTTTGGAAGCTGGACTACTGAGACAAACATGGGGGAGCAGGCATGCGTAGGTGGAAGTGTCTTAAAACAAACAGGAAAAATAGTTCTCGCCCAATGTCTTATTTCTGATTTTTTTTTTTTTTTTTTTTAAATCAACAGCCAGACTGAATTTTGCCTTCCAGAAGCCTAAAGTCTTATGAATTTCTAAACAAGCAGGTTTAAGACTTCTTGTTCTTTCCTTGCTTCCATTCAGTTCTTCTAGCTCTACAGCTATTATCATGCAAGTTGTCAAGGATATCAATATAAATTGAGCTAACAGTTTAAAAAAAAGTTAGAATTAAGTGATATAACTAAGTCCTTTACCTACTAATATATCAAGTATTAGGCAGATCATCTGCATGCCTGCATGGTAAAAGAGGCCAAAGTTCTTAAAAGAGCTATGATGAAAAATAATTGTTTTATTTCATTTTTATTTTGTAGTATGTTGAAGTCAGAGGACTTAAACATTGTGTAGAATTTTGTACCTATTTAAAATGGCCACTTTAGAACTGGTTCTTTACTACTACTTAATTCACACTGGGCACGTGGATCCCACTTATGCAGAAATTTTGGTAATGCTTTCCAAATGACTAGTTAGGGAACTATTGCTGTGAAGCCCGATTAAACTAAAAAATGTCCCCTGGGATACATGTCACTAAAAAACACAAAAAAATAGAAACAAAATAGTCAAGTTTTTACCACAAGATAACATACTGGCTTTGAGTCCAATCTCTCTTTAGTCCCTGTCCATGGCAACAAAAATCCATTAATACAAGGGTTTACAACCTTTTTTAACAAGTGTACCCCTCCTGCCTCAATTTCAGCTCATGTACCCCTTTATATTAAAATTATTGGGGGGGCTGAGCACACAGATGCATGCTTGCACCCTCAGCAGGAAAGCTGGGGGGATGGGGAAGGGGGCAGATCAAAGCCCCCATGGTGAGGGAGGGATTGGGGCACAGACAGTGGTAGAGTCGTGGGACAAAAATCAGAGCCCAGGCTGCTGGTCCTGGGGCACCAGAGGGCTCCCACCGCTGCACACATCCTGGTGGAGGCCTGGGGGCATGTGCCTCCCTGATCTGCACACAGGATGGAGGCGGCTGCTGCTGTACACTGGGTTCCCGGGGCAACTGCAGCAGCATGCAAAGCCCAGTGCCCAGTAGCAGCCACCTCCACCCCACACAGATCGGGGGGAGGGGGAGGCACATACCCCCCAGACCTCCGCCAAGGTGCACGCAGTGGCTGGAGCTCCCCTGTATCCCCCATGATCTTTTAAAGTACGCCTAGGAGTACAAGTACCCTCAGTGACGACCATCGCATTAATATATTTGGTAGCTCTGGAAAGCTATGCTGCCTATCAGTACATGTGCAAATTCTCTCACTGAAATCTGGAAAATATCTACTGCAGCTAAAAAGTGAACCAAATCATCCTGGTACACAATCAGAAGTTATCTTTTTTCCTTAAAACAAGTTAGCCCATTTAATTTTTTTCTAAACATTAAATAGAATACCTCTTTGTATCCAATTCACAACATTTCTATAGTCCATTTAAAGTTTTAAAAGTTGAAATCCAACTCCTTATTCATAACTATGGAAGTTCAGCTGATCACACACAATGAGGGTTGGAAGGGACCTTAGCAGGAGGTTGGACTAGATGACCTTCTAAAAGCAGGACCAGCCTCAACTATATCATTCCAGCCAAGACTTTACCCAGGTCTTAAAAATCTCCAAAGTTGGATAGTCCACAGCCTCTCTGAGTAGCCTGTTCCTGTGCTTTACTATATTCTTCATGAGAACCTTTTTCTTAATATCCAACTTAAACTTCCTATCCTGCAACTTGATCTCCATCCTCTTTGGAATTAGCCTCCAGGTAGTTAAAGGCTGCTATTAAACCCCGCATCAGTCTTCTCTTCCTCAGACTAAATACACTCAGTTCCCTCAGCCTCTCCTCAGAAGTCATGTGCCCCAGCCCCCAAATCATTTTCACTGCTCTCCACTAGATTCTCTCCAATTTGTCCACATCCCTTCTGTAGTAGAGGATCCAAAACTGGACGAAGTACTCCAGATGTGGCCTCACCAGTGCCAAATAGAGGGAAAGAATCATTTCCCTCCATCTGCTGGCAATGCTCCTACTGATGCAACCCAGTATGCTGTTAGCTTTCTTCACAACAAGGGCATACTGCTGGCTCATATGAAGCTTACTGTCCATTGCAACCCCCAGGTCCTTTTCTGCAGAGCTGTTGCTTAGCTATTTGGTTCCCAACTTGTACCGGTACTTGGGACTGTTCCGTCCTAAGTGCAGGATGTTGCACTTGTCCGTACTGAACTTCATGAGATTCATTTTCGTACAATTCTCTAATTTGTCACGGTCTCTCTGAATCTTAGTCCCACCCTCCAGCATATATAATAATCTCCCCAAGCTTGAAGTAATCTGCAATCTTGGTGAGGATGCACTCTGTCCCATCTTCAAGGTCACTGATAAGGATATTGAACAGAACTGGCCTCAGGACCAACCCCTGGGGCACTCTACTTGATACCGGCTGCCAGCTAGACATGGAGCCATTGGTTACTATCCTCTGAAGCTGGTGATCCAGCCATTTTTCTATTCAGGTGATGCCTCCATGACTTCAATCATGTATATACATCATGCAAATAAAATCCACCAATTCTGGATCAGAAGTAATTCTCCCCCACAAGAATGGAACCACAAAAAAAGTTATAAGACTTGCTATTTTTGAAGCTTCGATAGCTATACCCTGGGTTTGTAGTCATGCAAAATTAAAATTTCTCAAATAAGAAATATTTTCAATCCATGCTTCCATGTATTACCTTAGATTGCTTTCATCCATGCAAAGTATATAATCAAATGTTAGGAAATCATCTTTAGTAACCTAGAAATAAAAAAAATATTCTTTAATCCAGCAAAAGGATATTGCTTACAATGCATAAATAAAATTAAAGTTGCAGAAGTCACATTTTCACAATTCTTACTCATTATTCATAAAACAGGGATATGTATAAAAATGGACTTGTCAGAAAACTTGTTTGCAAATTCTGAGCAAAAACTATCCTTCTCATCAGTGGTAAATGCCATAATAACAAGTAAAGTGCAAGTGAGATTGAAGTATGCTGTTGTTTTTGTACAGCATTATTTTAAAATGTTTTAAACTAATTTCTTGATATATACGTGAACATGCTATGTCTTTTTTGCAGCTATAAAAATTCCATCACACTCCCAAATTTGAAAAAAGGCTAGAGGTTTTATTTTTTTTTTTAAATCTCTTCTGAAAGACTGTCACTACTATAAAAGGAACCAGATCAAAACAGACATGACATAAAATGTCAATTTCTTAATTTTGCTTTACTAAAGCTTTGCTTAAGAGTGAGAAGAGACAAATCTTGGTAAGAAAAGATAATTTCTATGCTTCTATGGTTTTAAGCTAAAATTCAGTGACAGTTGTCGAATCAAACTGAAGTCATTTTACAAATATTTTTTCTTATAGAACATGGAATAAAATTGTCCAATACAACTGTACATAAATAAAACATGTAATTGTAGACTTGGAGATATCAAGTGAAGTTTGGAAGCCAGGGAGGGAGGAGGGAGAGGAAGAAGAGGTGGTCAGATTAGAGTCTCCTTAAAACTTTGCACTTGCCTAACGGGCCTGGAAGTATAAATTAATAATGTACCAGCCAGAGATAAGAACACAGGAAAAAGGCTATCAACCTACTGTAAAAAGGTGTACTTCACTTTTCTTTCTATAGCTTAGTTTACTGCCTCCTGGGCATTAAAACCATACAGAATAAACAAACCATGTTTAAAGGTATGTGGAGAAGGTGTTTGGGGTAATTTAAACGGTAAATGGGAGAATCTCTACACTCACCTACATTAAGAAGTTATACTGGTACAACCAAGTTGATTTAGTTTGACTGGTACAAACTCATGAATTAGATTTAATGAAGTTATAGAAAAAAAAATTTAAACAAGGATTTAGATCAGTTTTACTGATATACAGATATAGTTCTGTGTGGATACTCTTGTCTCAATAAAGCAATGTCTATTTCTATTTAATATCCATCTCTCCAAGTTAAACAAAAATGTCGTGCTTATAACAAAATACGAATGTCTAGATGGGTTCTATCTGCATATCTACACACATTGACATCTTTGCTAAACCCCAAAAAGTTCCAGACAGGGAAGGCTTTATATACACTGCATGGTCTGCTGATTAAGGGCTTTGACACATTTACATGATGTAAATAGGAGAAGATAATGATAAACAGCTGTATACTTGTGTAACTTATTTGAAACAAAAATTTGGAATCAAGAAAAATTGGCATCAGTTTAAACTTCATGTGTCTGGAGCTATCCCAAATTATCCATTAACTATAGGCAAACTAATCCCCACTCCTACTTCATCACGAGATGCTATAAATAAAGCCTATTGGAAGCCAGTACCCTGAAATTGCTGGTTATCTGTCCACTCCAGATCCCAGTGTAATTCACATTGGCATACAATACCGATGTAAATTACACTGGTGTGGATATGTATTGTGTCCAGGCCGTAGATTAGGTGTTTGCATCACAGTAACTACAAACACAGATTTCACAATTAGCTAACACACACATTGCACCAGTGTCTCAAATGCAACATCATAACCAATATTCTTAGGAGGCTTGTACAGTACATTGGGGAAGGAGTGAGGCAGAGAACTGGTGGCAAAGGAAAGAAAGACTGTGGGAAAGCTTTCCCAAAAAAAATAAGGCTGATATTTAAACTTGTAAGAATTATGCTTTCCCAAAAACAAAACCTCTCTCATTTTTAACAGAAAAAGGTACTTACTCCCCGCCAAAAAGCAATGCTTATATGAGCTATATAGTTTGATTAGATATCCCTATATACTGGAGACAATAGGGGCATCTCTTGACTAAAACCAAACAGGAAATATTTCACTTCCCAGAAGATTGAGAGCACTAAGAAAAGAGTGTTAAAATGGAAGTCAATGTAATAGTATCTCAATCTTTTGCTAGTATAGAAAACTAAAGCAGAGACCTGTTTATTTTTGCTGTAAAAATATTTGCTGTATTCATGCTGTGCTTTTGACCTATAATTTTCATGGTGAAAGCAGCTCTGCTCTTCTCCCAGCTCCCACAGAACTGCTACAAGCTTACCTTAGTGGCTCTCTGCTGCTAAATCCCTGTCTGTGAAAATAACCTTACACAAATTTCGCTTTACTTAGGACAAAAAAGTAAAAAAAAAAACTGATGGATAAACAAAGATCTACTATATACTAAAACTATTTTAAAAAATTACTACTA